CCAATTTACATAAATAGATGGGGCAGGTGAGAGGGTGTTGTGGACATCAAGTGCGATTTCACACCAAAACTATATGACATGGCTTCAGCAGTGTTATCACTGCGACCCCAACGTATTACCCTACTTTCTATCTATAGATATTTTTGTAGAGTGACATTTTGGCCGAGACAGTTACAAATTATTTTCTTTCTCTCTCCTCCCTTTCCACTCAGTGCGAGCATTTTACCAATACACAACCCCATTCCGATTGGTGAAAGCTAGAAAAGTCATACCACTAATGTCCTGGCCGAGCCCGCAGTCTTGATACCTTTTTGTGTATGTGCGACCAAAAACATCTCTCACCTCAATGAAGAACCAAGAGCAGCAAGTCGGTAAGAGTCTTTAAGAGCTAGTTGTGTTCCATTAAAAGGTGACTTGCTTTTACAATGGAATTCTGGGGATAAGAAAAAGAAAAAACAGTTAATACAATCTCTAACTTATAGCTCAACTGAAACAAAGACTGTGCAATACCCTCCATGGATAGCGCGTTTCCATCCACCAGTGTGCTCGAGCCGGGGATGAGGAGCCATTGCCCCAGTGCAAGTGAACTCAGCTGTCATATGCAGACAGATCTCCTCCTGAAATGCCACGCCAACCGCCAAGTACTTGACTGAACAAACAAGCAATAAATTCAATTAAAATCAAAAACTGACAGGAAACAAGACAATGAACAGGGCCAGAGTGTGACCGTTGTAGGAGAAAGACATGACAACTAACAATTTCAGTATATTTTTTTGTGTGACTAAGTAGTAGTCCTTTAAAAACCATAATAACCTAACCCTCCTTAACACAGAATCTTTATGTCCACACCACTACTCACCTGTCTCTGCAGGTGTTTTGATCTTTGCAAGACGGAGGTGTTGCCGTAGTTCTGAAAGGGAATTCATCAGGTTGCTGAGTTCCGCAATGATGAGACGATGTTAATGGGAAGACTGCGGGTGCCAGTTGCATAATTAGCAGCAATAGTTGGCCAGGTAGTGTCATCTGTAAATATGAAACAAGACTTTTTTAATGGCTAGAGGGGGAAGCAGTTAAGATGGTTAGGATGATATTGTGGCCATTTTAGAGAATAAAAAAGAATAACGCACTGCGCTTGGCTGATTATAACAACCAGGGCTGGAGGAGGAAAAGACCATCTAGTTACTCCTTATTCATGGAAAAACAGTTATGATAACCATGAAGTTAAAAAAAAAAAAAAAAAAAAAAAAAAAAAAGACGAAGACAACGACTGCGTCTGAGGCACAGTTTGCGGTGGCACTAAGAATTGCATCACAGCAAGCGCCAGCTACAAGCCAGTTCATCTAAAACAACCAAAAGACTTTTGTTTTCTCCAAACAAATGACCACCCACATTAAAGAAAAGCACATAATGATTGAAGAATTAAGCAGCTGGTTAATTTATTTATTGTTCGTGGGTTTCAAATTGGCACAAACCAGTTACCAGTACGCATCAAAATATTCAAACAATTAAAGAAATAATCACAAACCAGTGGAAATGTTAAAATGCTGTAAACAAAATTAATAAAAGAGACCCTCAATTGCGCTAAAAGCACGAAGCAGCGTTTTTGCATGCAGCTGAACCAGTAGAGCTGAGCACAGTCTTACCTTTGACACCACCTGTACCTCCTCAGTGTCCGCTAATGGCTTAAAGCTCAATCCTCCACCCTTCTTATTTCGCGTTCAGGCACCCAGTGTCTGACACCGCCCTATGTGACATCTGACTTGGCATTAAGCTCCTGCAAAAAATGTTCTGATAAGCAGAGGAAGGTATTTGGTTTTTTTGTTGTTCATTTGTTTAATACATCATAGGTTGGATGAATGCATAGTAACAGCATAAAATCTGCCAGGAGTATTGCAACATGTAGGTTAAGCAATAAATTAACACTGTAAATTAATTGCAGCCAATTTTAAAAATAAGAAATCAAATTTTGTATACTTTTAAAATCTTAAAATGTTAAAAAACATATGATTTATTTATAATGCATCAAAACAACGTAGGCTATGTTTATAAAACAGGAGTAAATTGTCATTTCCAACCAAGGGTGATGTTTGGATCTCCTCCCACAAAGGATTTTCCAGGAGCCGAAAACCAGTTCATAATCCTGATCTTAAACTGGTCTGTCAGCCATTTGGGTGCGGAGCTTGCACGTTCGCTTGTGTAGCTTCTGCACTGAAAACAGCCAAAAATGAGAGAAATTTTGAAAAGAGCTCGTTGAACCTCTTCTTTCTCAAACTCCCGAGGTCACATTTTTTAACTTTAGCCACTGAAACTCGGCAGTCCTATGGTCAACAAGATGACGATGCTCACGGTCTTTTCGGTTTTCATTTCGGTCGTTCCTGGCCAATGGTTCGAGGGGGTTCATTTTGAGATTTTCTGTCCCCCTCAGGAGTGAGAGAGACAGCAAAAAGGGTGCAGCTGCACTTAACTGCTGTGGCCTAGCCCTGGTTACCAAGACAACCAAAGCCTTCCTGTGAACATAATCACGTCAGGCACGCACAAAATGTCTTTAGGAATTTTCTAGTTTCAAAGTATTCAAAAGTCAAACTTTTTTTTTAATTTTTTTTTGACAATTATTTACGATGTTATCTTAAGTTGGCACCATGAAGTATTTTTTTTCCTCCACTGATATGGAAACAAACAATGAATAGTGTGTGCACTTTTCAGGAAATGTCAGGCAATGAAACACAGCAGCCTGCAAGCTGGAACACTTTGACCTCCTACCTGGCCAACATCACAAACAGTGGTAAGGAGATGCTTGTTTGTTGTTTTGTTTTTTTTGTTGTGTGTTGTGTGTATGTTTTTTTTTTTTTGTTTTTTTTGTGTGGAAAACATGATCTATGTTGTGAAAGGAAGTGCCCTCAGAGTTCATATTCCTACCCTCAGGTGACTATGTTTTAATGGCACCTGGAATTTCACTGGATGACCTCCTGGTTGGGGTGGATCGTACCAAATATTACCGCTATCTTGGTTCCTTGACCACCCCCACTTGCGATGAGGCTGTGGTTTGGACTGTGTTCAAGGATTCGATCAAAGTCAGCAAAGATTTGGTGAGTTTTTTTTTTTTTATTTTATATTTTTTTCCCTTCTGTGTATTAAGTACAATGCTGTCAACAGTGCTTCACCAAGCTAACTGGCTCAATATCCTACCTCCAGATTGACCTCTTCAGCACAACAGTACGCTTCCCCAACAGCTTGTCACCTTTGATGACCAATGTCTTCAGAAACGTCCAGCCAGCACAACCAGTCACAACACAGGCTGCCAGCAGTAGCGCTACCTCCAAAACCTGCTACTCCCTGGGGTTGATGGCACTGAGCCTGGCTCTGGGGAGGAGTTGGGGCCAATGATGATGATGAGGGGGGGGAGGAAAAGTTATTGTGGTGTTTTGGCGACTTATGGTCCTGCTGGTAAACCTGTTAATGAGCATACACCCATTTCACCATTTATCCCATTTCCTATGTGATTTGTCTGACTTAAACCTCCAAATTATTAAAGTCAAATCCAAGCAAAACTGAGCCCTAACACCACAAGACCTTTTGGTGCGTTCCAGTCTAGCTCTATATATATTTTTAAGTTATTGTTCACAAACATTAAATGTGATAATGCCTATGATTGTCCATATTCCTCCAATGGTATAAAAAGCTATAAAGAATTTATCAATCTGATTTTAATCTGTTGCTCACTAAATTTATGTTAAACATTGTGCACAAGAATGAACATGTTTAGCAGAATGAATGGTTTAGGCACAGCTAATGACTGCGCTTGAGCTGTCAAAGGAATGCACTTGCACTAAGTTTACTGGATAGATGACGTAATGGTAACTTGGAAACTCTGCAATGTAATCTGAGCAAGATAGTATTTAGTTAATGTGGGCAAGTATCTGTCTATAGAGTTAAAACTACCAAAACACCAATAGTTGTTGACAGACGTATGTATCGCTACATTGCCCAGATGAACACTCACACTTAAAACTGTGCTGCTTCTTTAACTTGGTGTAATGAAGGATTGTTGCTGTGTCACTTGGTCGATGAACACCATTATTTATCAGAATGCTGTACAATATAGATTTTATTTTTTTCCATTTAGACCGGTGTTGCACTTCTTGCACATGTAACAAAACGCTGACTTCTTGATCTTTTGATATATATTTCTAAATTAAAAGGATTTGCTGTCAGTCGATTTTCTTGAGTCCTCTTCGGTTTTCTTTGAGGGATAAACATGCTTCAAAAATATTTTAAACAAAAGATTTTAGTTTATTAAGCATTGTGTAACGGCATTAAATCTAATCCCGAATGTTGTACTTTGACTGAACATGAGCCAGACACTTGACACTGCTGTATTTGTCAAAGAGGGTGTATTTTATCACAGTTACTTTGCTTCCTTATAAATGGTGCCTTTTGAGGATGCAATTGTTCCTCATTGTGCTTTTCAGCATATTTGATGACCTTTGCCTTTTATGGCTTACCTAAACTTCCCCCACTTAAGGAACAGAATAAATACTCCTGTGCAAACGTCCTTGATCAACTTCAATGTGCTGTGATTGAACAAAAGATTCTGTGGTTAACTAAAGGTGTATTAATGAAACATTCCCAGTTCAAAAGAAAATATAAAGGCCCTGTAAGTAAGCATGCACAATCTTTCATGCAGAGGTCCTGCATGTGTGTGACTTTGCTTTCAAATGTGATGTTCTTTCTGTAAAACTGTAAAAAAGATAACCTGACTTCCTGACTTAGGGTAACACTTCTGCTTAAATGGCCATGTATGTTATGTTCCAGACAGAGAGGTCTTCCTAATAAAGATATCAATCGTTACCCTCAGATGACACATTCTGTCACAAGAATGATGAGCATGTAGACTATTCTATTGTTAAGATTTAAATACAATGCGAGTCCTGCATATGAAACATGAGATAAGGAAGAACACAGCATCAGTCCGAGGGTGATCAAGAGATAATTTTCTAAACTTTTAAAAAAAATAAGAAAAAAAGTGCATCACAAAAAGGAAACCAACATTAAGAACTTGTCATTAAGAATAATTTTAATATTTTTTAATAAACACTTAAAATTGTCCTATTTGTTGATTCCTTACACACAGACCTGCAGCTACAATACAACATACTTTTATAGTAACTACATCTACCACATAAGTTGAGCATTAAAATGAACTAGAAAATGAAAATGATTACATTTAAATCAAAATCCCTAAACCTTACTAACTTAAATGATTTACTTAATTACACCTTAAGAGCTCCACCTCAAAAGCATTACAGTGACAGACAACATTTAATATTCAAATAAGAAAATGTTTTTTTTCTTTTGTTACAGTAAAAGAAATAAAATATAAAAAGCTTGAATGTGTATGTCACAATGTCTACTTCTGTCCCTTTGTACAGTTGTTTTTCCTGTTTTTTCAGTCATCAATCCATCCTGTCATTTCAGATATGCACTGTTCTCCAAACACCCTGCAGTTGCACCCAGTACAGTTGTTCCCCATTCCCCTGCATATACATCTGCACTCTTTTTGATCATTTTTGTCTAATATTTTAACTGCTCCTGCTTGTGAGTCCACATTTCTGTGTGCAGAACTGTAATAATAATAGTGGCCGGGTCAAGAAAAGAACATCAAACACCAAAATATACAAATAACACAACAAACCACAGGTCCTTCTTCACAAAGCATATTTCTGTCTGTACTGTGTATATATTTATATGCACGTGCACAAATCTACTCTAATCTGCCTGTTTACTGTCCAAACATAAGGTGGTTGTGTAAGGCCTCATTACAGGGAGTACCCCACGTGCTGGATTTCTGTGTTCCGCGTAATCTAATACTCACTATAGAAAAAGTAGGGTGTGAAATTCTATAGCGGGAAGGAGGGAGGACACGAAATTTACTATTTTCACTGGTCAGCAGTATGTAAATAAAATAAGTAATTACAGTAACATAGGGTTTATGTTAAAGTATAAGGCAGGGTGTTTAACATACGCTTTTCATGACACTAGTATGTAATTTGAAACCAGCTAATGGATTGTAATGTACTCTAAGTGTATGATGATGTAAATAGCTTTTATTACCCCCCAGTGAAATAAGGGAACTAGTACAAAAAAAGCCTGAAGCCACACAAATTACAAAGTCAGGTTTCTATTTTCTAATAAATGTATCAATTACCAATATAACAGAGATCAGGAGGAGCCAGCTGCTTCTTAGGCCTGAAGATGATCCCTTTAAGTCACAGCTGCACTCCTTTGGGTGTCGAGGATTGGCTGGAGCGGCGGGGGTTGCAGGCGGAGCTGGACATCTGAGCCAGTCTACAGCAATGGACTTAGGGGTGACGACATCTTGGTTGAGTCCTCCTCTCTTCAGCACCCAGTAATGGTTGTCCTTGAAAAAGTAGCTATCTCCTAAAGAGCAGCAGCAGCAGTTCTTTCATCACATAATGAATAATACAAGAGCCTATTAACTAGAGACACACAAGCAGTGGTAGACAGTAACGTACTTGAATATTTCTATTTTATGCAATAGTCACTTCTTACGTAAGGAAACCACTTGTAAAAACGTCGTAAAAAACCTTCACAGCGTCCCTTTAAGTCTGCCTTTCAACTGAGTGACACAGGAAGTTAAGGTAACTTAGGAATCTAATCTCGTTTTGTGTCTCAACAATAGAATACAAGACAATAGGTCTTTGTTTTTTGGCCAATGGCCAACCATTAAGTTTCAGCCCTGCAGGGGAAAAAGTCTGGGCACCTATACTTTAAGTAAAGGACCTGAAATGGCTTCTTCCACCACTGCACATAAAGCATCAAAATATTCTAAATTAAACTATAGAGATTATATTTATAATGTCTGTTTTTTATATTTGACTCTATGGTATGCTGTCATTCAAGTCAAATAGTTAATTCATAGTGTCTATTTTTACTTATTGTTTCCCTTTGCTTTGATAACACAACATACCTTCTAGCAGCTTGTGCACTCATGTTAAAAAACGTCATCACTCTAAAATAACCTTCTCTATGGTCTATTGCTCTATTGTTTTATCTTACGCTGGTATCAGAAACCCATCTCATATTTATGCCTCTTAACACAATGTTACCTTCTCCCCAGGTGATGACGTCATCCATGTGGGAGGGCACTCCTCCCCAGAGGCTGTTGTTCCGTGGGTAGTCCGGCGCTTGCAGCCAGGTCACCTGTTCGCCCATACGGCTCTCGTCAAACCTCCAAAACTCCCCGTTGCTGAACAGGTATGTTTTGCCGTTGTGGGCCCAGATGAAGGCTGCATCCACGCTCTCCACCAGTGCCCCCCTCTTCGTCCTCATGCCCCATTCAGAGAGGGGTCGAGGGTAACCGGCCATGGCCACCGTGTCCTTGAAAACCCAGTACTGAGATCCTGGACAGGCGTTGGGAAAGTGTGAGAGAGAATTTGTTTGAGTAAATTAAAGTCAAAAAGAAGTTTGTAATGCTTACAAATTCCTGCTGCAGAGAGCTGCAGTCGTTGGTAACCACGCTTACATCCTTTCTTACAAGCACCTTAAAAATAGCATCAAAACTCATCAAAACTGCCATAATCAAAAATAGACCAAAGTCACATGTAACCACAGGATTTTGTTTCTCACCAATGAAGAAGATGATTTTGCTGTCACTCTTCCTCTCATACACTGCGTCGACCTTGTTTGTTCCTGGCGGCAGGCCAATCCAGAAGCTTTTGATCTGAGCTGGACTGAGGGACACCAAAGACCCGTCTTGCTTAGTTCTCCAGAAGTGTGCACCTTTCCGAGAAAAGAGAGCGAATATGACACCATCAAGTGTCTCTCAGATCATACGGACTAATAATCAAACTAAAATACCGGCCTATTCTGAATATGCTTTTGTCACAAGAACAATGTCGACAATAGACAATAGATTTTGGGTATTTTGAAATAGATTTTAATCTTGGGAAATGTCTCCTTTGTGTATCCCTTCTTTTCACCTTTAAAAAAGAAGACCTCTCCCCTGATATTTGCCACTGCGTCAAAGCCTCCCCGACAGCGCTCGTGGAATGAGGGGTCAGAACTGGGACAGAAAAAGTCAAAACTCAAAATTCATATATTTTATAGAATACAGTCTGATAAAAATTCACTAGAGGGTGCAAGAAGACCAAACACTGTCACAGCAAGGATCAATAAGAAAGCTTTTATCTGTGTCCACTGGTCTTAAATTACTCTTTTCCATTCATTAGATTGATTAGACTGAGTGCATAGAACACAGGATATTCATAGTTTGTAAATGATAATTATAAGTGCTTATTGTCTGGATGGATGTAGAGTAGTTTTCATTCTTTCCTCTCACTCTACTTACGGCTGTGTTGGTCTTGGAGGAGGTGGACTGGGCAGGCGCGGGATTTCAGGATCAACACCACCTGGCGGCCCTCCATCCTTCACACCTACAACAGCATGGTTACAGCGGACAGTGTTGAGGAGGTGTTGACGGCATTATGATGACAGCAATAGAGAAATTGTGCAAGCAACCCACATTGTTCTCAGTAGCCAGGGGAGTTTGACACACAGGATGCAAACTCTTTTTTTAGGACACGGAAGGAAACTGTTGAAATCCCCTGTGCATGCACCTTTACATACATTGGTACTCATAAATAATTTTTTACAGAGGGTGGTTTTTGGGTATTTATGGCCTTTTATATTCCACGTTCAATGCTTAAGCTATAACATAATGCACTTAAATAATTAAATAATACGATTTTCTTAAATTTACACTTAATACAATCACCACATAAACAATCAGTAACCACTCATTAACATTTACTTCTAGTTTAGGGCCACTTCTCCCTTTCACAATGTCACAATGTCAATGAAATCACAATCACAATGTCATAACCAACCACCAACGGACATGTTCACATGGACAGTAAGCATTTTATACCTTAATAAATTGAGTAATAGGAAACTTCAGGACACGATGAAAGGCCAAAAGAGAACTCAGGGATAGTTTTACTATGCTAGTGGTGTGGGATTGTTGGTCTGTTTTATGGTTTTCGGGTCCACCACTATGGTCTAGACTGAAATATCTCAGCCACTATTGGATTGGACTGCTATGAAATTTGGTACAAACATTCATGGATAGGTGATCCAATGACTTTTCCACTAGCGCCATCATCAGGTTAAAAAATATATTCATCTTATTACTTTGGTTTGTGACCATATACCTGCAAAACTGGCATTCCCATCAGCCTCAGTTGTACTTTGTGTTTAGTTCGCTCTAATTACTCAACATCAGCATGTTAACATTGTCACCCTGAGCATGTTAATTAATAAAGCTGTCCAGCTGTCTCTTAGCTAATCTAATCTCATGTTAGCATGATGATGTCAGCTCAATTGTCACTGACAAAGTACAGCTTCACAGAGCTGCTAGCATGACTATTTTGTCAGTACATCCATTAGCCAACATTAAACCATAAAATAAAGCAGATGGAGGACTACAACACCTTGTACAACTGTGTAAACTATACATTAACTTTAATTTTTTAACTTAGATGAAAACACACAAACAGACATGAGAACACCAAACATCAACATACACATACTGTAATGAATATCCCATACAGAATGTAATTAGTGCTACTGGTTACCATAAAGCTGCTGGATGGCCTGCTTGTCGTCCAGGGCCAGCATGAAGTTTTGAATGTCTCCCACAGGGCCCTGGTAGTATGGCCTCATGATGGACGGATCAGAGGAGGAATGGGACAGGCCCAGTGCATGGCCAAACTCGTGCACTGCAACTGTGAACAAGTCTGTTGTGCTGCTGTAACCTGAGGAAGTGTGAAGAAAAAGTATTACTGGATCACATAAACAGTCATAAATTAAGAGTTTGTTGTCACTGAATAAGCATTAGGACTCCTTTTTTAATAACTATAGATCACTTTGTCAGTAGACAGACAAATCTTGAGACCAGGTCTTTATACATCCCTCCATCATGATGATTTCAATCAGTTATTACCTCCATAGCTCCAAATCTCATCATCATCAAAGTGTGTGTCACCCGCCACATCATTCCTGCCGGGGAAGAAGGCGTGGGCCAGGGTGCCACCCTGCCCGTCAAAAGGGTACCCGTCGTCGTGAAGCATGCGGGTAAAAGACACTCTGATGTCCCCTCCAGCTGCCGCCCCCCTGCTGTCACTCGGCAGCCGACGGAAATTCAAGGGGGTTGCGTCGCTCCAGGCTTTGAAGGCGTGAGTCAGGATGGTGTCCACCAAACTGTTAGGCAGACCGGGTGAGAGGGAGGGCGATGGGTAGCTGTGGACACTGCAGACAAGAATAGATTTTGTATTATAACAAAGTTAAGTTTTAATTATCCTTTAAATCTGTTCACTGTCTGAGATTTTTCTTTATGCCTTTTCCGTCTTATGTAAAGCACTTAGAATTGCCTTCTTGTTGAAAGGTGCTAAACAATGAAGAAATGTATCTTTCTAATTTGTCCAAATTATTATATTTGTTAAAAAAAGATGAAGCTTGCGTGACTCTGACAGCACACTTCTCCAAAAGCCTGACATGTTATATAAAGAGCTATGATTCATACAGACTTGAACGAAAAACCAAAGTGTAACATGACAGGAAAGACACCTCCATGTGAGGTCTGTCTTATGCCACTTGAGGCCTGACAGAGCATATCTTTTCCTCCTCCTCCTCCTCCTCCTCAGCATGTCCTCACTTCCAACAATATCAGGGAGGGAGCATCGTGGTGTGGACATGAGTTTGAGGGTTTCACTGTCTAGAAGAGAAGTCACATAGAGAAATGATGAAACCAAAGAGCAGATTACAGGAAGTTTGAGACTTCATGTGACCACCCCTGGACATGGGGTGGTCACATGAAGGTGGAAATCTAATATATATTGTCCAGATAGCTCGAACTTAAGAGGTTTTTACCAAGCACCCCAGTTTCGTGGACCCCGCCGTATCTCTGCATGACACGAATGGCTTTCTCAATCCCCTCTTTGGTCTGCAGTTTACTTGCTCGCAGGTCAGGCGGAGGAAGGTAGCCATACCTGCTCAACCAATCCTGGACAGAACACAAGGAAACCAAAGGAAATTTGATAGTCTGTGCACCATAACCAAGATTACGGGCATAAGTTGATGTCATGGAGGATATTTGATGCACTGCTCTACTTGTTACTGTATATGAGACCCAGTAGATTCTTCACAATGCAGTGTCTCAGCCTTTTTTCATCATTAATATTATATGATCATGTCTTCAGTGAGTGAGTTGCTTGACAGGGTAAAAGCAGCTTACAATTGATAATTTGCAAGCTCTACTCAGAATAACTGAGCGGAGAATGGACTTGAGGCTAAATAAGACAGTATATCTAGTGGTATCTTTCCTCTTAGGCTTCTATCTCCTTTAAGCAAAATCAGTTTCTTTAAAGTGATTTTGAAACCTGCCCCTCCTCCTCCACCGTAACTGTAGTTGAAGTTCAAAGAAAAAGGTGTTGGCTCACTCAACAGTTGTTTCTCTGTCCGTTTTATAAAAAATGCTTCCACCTTAAGTTGTTTCATCTTCTACTCAGGCCTTATGTTTCTTTTGCAACAAAAACAGATGATTTTTGCTATTTTTTGCAGCAAATGTTTGACTGATAATATGTTGAAAGTTCTGGTAACCTTATTTTCTTGTATACAAACAAGCTGTATTATTTCACCTGAGAACTGTTTGACCCAAGCAGGATCATGCCGGATGCAGACTAAACATGAGAACTTATATGGTAACAGAAGTGAAACTTGATGTTTTCAGATTATAATTTTTGACGACAATGGCGTTCATACATGTGAAATTGTAAAAAAATAAGAAGTATTAAGTAATTTTTTTAGGGAAGTGTGAGAGAACTATGACACTCAGAGATTTTCAAGTTTCATGATTTTAAATGTTTTACAATCAGTAAAAGATGTACTCAGAATATGTTATTGTCTTAAATTCAGAGTTCATACTTGGAACACTGCAAAATAAATAAATAAATAAATAATAATAATAATAATAATAATAATAATAATAATGACCACTTAGGATTAACATTTGTTTTTACCAAAACCAATTTTCCAAAATAATTCTATAAAAATTGTTTAAATGCACAAAACAAAATATGAATTTGATGCCTTTTCTTTCTTCGTTTTTTATAAACCTCATAAATCGTGTGAGGCTGCCTCCAGTCCATCAGGCCACCAGACTCTTTGCCATATCCAATGAACTCTATATGACTTCCTGTTCCATTAATTACATACAAGTCTGTGTAAGCCTGATGCTTGATGAAAATTAATTAACAATCACAGCAGCCACAAATAACCCACATTAAACAGTTTTTCCCTTTCTTTAATACTCACCACCGCTCTGCTGTACTGGTCAGTCTGTGCGGGTGCGCTTCCCGTTAAGGTCAATACCATCAACAGCAGAAGACCCAACTCCATTCCGGTCACTGCAAAAAACCGCTGCATTGTTACCGGAATACTTATCATTTGGAGGCAACAGAGACATTTCTCGCTTTCTATTGCAGTAGCTTCCTGTCAAATCATCCAAAGCCAAGAGAAGCGAAACAAAGCTCACCGTCGTTCCTTCTCTGTAGTCTCTCTTGGGACTAGGCTTGGCTGATCGATCAGTAAACTCTCCGCCCTGCTTCAATCACAGTAAAGAGAGCCGTTGCCTGCAGCTTTCCTGTATGCGCTTGTGATGAGACATCCGCTTCTCTTCATTGTGCGCGCTGCTACAGGTGCAGGTGAGAAGATGGAATCAACTCTGACTATGATACATTATAAGACAGTCATAGCGATATTTAATCTCTTTATTTATATTAAAACTTAATTTGTTTGAATTGTTTTATATGCTTTCCTTTATAAAGGGTTTACTTAATAATTGCTTACTATACTACTATATATGCTTACATACATGAGTTATAATGTTAAGCCCTTAACCAGAACAAATTGCTAATTAGTCATCTGTTATTATAAATGTTAAAGGTCCAGTGTGTAGGATTTAGTGGCTTCTAGCGGTGTAGAAACCAGTGTTTGGTTTGTCCATTATAGGCTACTGTAGACATGGGGGTTCAAAATGGCGAACTCCACTGGGCAGGCGACCCGCAATGTCCGTAGATATATACAAAAACTCAATGATTACTATATTCAGGGGATTTTACACTAATGAATAAATAGTTATGAATATGAAATTCTATTTCTGCCAATAGATCCTCCTAAATGTTGCACACTGGACCTTTAAAGAATAAAGGATTCCCACAGTGGTCTATAAGAAGTCTGCATTTGTAAATATTAATCAATTGTCAATAAATAAATGCAAGACTCATTCCCAGAGTGGCATGAAGTCCTGTGGCCATCAAACTCTTTAACTCCTTCCTCAGATTGTCAAAACTCTTAGTCAATCATCAGTCAGTCAAAAAAAAAACAATGACTTGGTCCCCCCTTTGCATAATACGCAAATTTGCAAGAGATCAAAGTACTAAAGAGCAACTGACTCAACTAAACCTGAGGCTTTTGGTGCCCTTGCAGGCCTGGTTGGTCCTGGGTGCAACTGACCACTTTTCCCAGTTTGTAATCCAGCCTTGTGGCCAGACATTTTTATATCGTATGTAATTTTGGATATATTGGGCTATATATCAGATAATTAGTACCAAAAAAATGTATGCAAGATATCCTGCTTTATCAAAAAAACTAATTTATGTTTTAGTAGAACCAAAGACTGTATATGAAACCACATTATTTCGGTTTAACGTGAACATTGGACACAGCAGCAGTTTCTATGGCTTCTCAATATTTGCTATTTCATTTACAACTTAGGGTTCCACATTGTCTGCCTCCCGGAAATCAATTACATAATCACTATAGCACTATTATGCATTGAAGTACACAGAAGTTTGGCAGTGATTGTGCATTTTCAAACATGGTCTCTAATTACATTTTTAATATCACACATAAATTGAAAATGAAATTTCAATTTTATTCAATAAATTAATTTTAATATTGGCACCCCTGGGCTTCCATATTAATCATCAGTGAATCTACAACAATATCAGTCGAACTTTAAAAAGAAACAATGCCTGAAATGTAGTTATCATCAAGAACTATTTTTCCAGTGTTATTTGTCAAAGTACTTCACATATATTTGAGGGAAACTGATGACACTGCATTAAGCTGGAGTGCACCAGCATCTCACATCTCATCTACCATTATGTTCATGGGTCATTCTCTCTGCAAAGCATCACTGGTGTTATCTTTCCCTCTCCCTCCCCCTCTTCCTCCTCTCCCATCTTTAATTTCTGTCACCCTCCAGGGAACCAAGCGAGTCATGCCATTAGCACAGAATGCTGCCTTGCTAATGGTTGGTCAGTTTCCGTCATGTCCACTTCATGTCGCTGCACCAGTGAAAAACATGAGAGTCCTTTCGCTGCTCAGCATTTTGTATAGGTGATTATGACAGACGCTTCATTCATGCTGCTGCTCTTTTTAAGGTGTATGGATTTTTTGTGTCTGACATTTTATTCTAAACTTTACACCAGTGGTTTTTAAACTGGGATCCTTGAGTGGGTTGTAGAGGGTCCTAAGCAAAAGGAAAAATATAATATTTTAGAGAATATAGAATTTTTTGGGAAGTTGGCAGGGAACAAGTGAAGAAATAAGGTTGGCCATTTTTATTGATTGTTTATAGTGATCCAAGTTTAATTATGAAGATTATGATATGATTATGAAGACCTTATAATCTTGAAACATAAAAATAAAAAAAATACCCAGGGGGCATTCCTTAAGACAAAATCCTCTCAAATTGGATGTCTGTGGTCTAATCTAAACTGTGGGGGTCCTTGACATAAAAAAGTTTGGTTCTGGTTTACTCCACATAGACCTTCTAGAATGGATTCCTGATTACGGCTTCTCAAGTATGAAGTTCGGTTGGTTGATCTTAGTCCAAAAGAGACCGCTGTAGGCTTACATGCCAGTAGGTTGTAAACACTGCTGATAAGAGTGGAGTCAAATCAAATCAGTAGAGTTTAAGGCCAGAAAACCAAAACAATGAGCTAAAAGACGCTAAAATGCTCCTTAGAACCAAGCAGAACTACAGCGTTGGGTGATAATCCTTTGTGGGTTCATTATTATGAGCAACTTCTTTTACATAAAGGTAGTCATGTGATCCAGTTTTATCATGAAATATTGATTATAGTAGACTTTAGTGAGTCAAATCTTTCTCTCATCACATTACATGTGTTGATTAATGTTACTACTGCCCCAGTCACCATGACAGTGACGATGATTATCTTTTAAGAAGTAATTTAAATAATACAAATCATTATTTTTCACATATTGAATTTACCCCAAACATTTACTTAAAAAATATATTTTATTTTGGTAATGGTGATGATTTTGTAAGAATCACATTTGTCAAACATCAAGCCATAGTGCGTAATTATCAATCATTATCAATGTTTTTTTTTATCTTGAACGACAAAGACGGTATGGGAAGTGTAATATAACATGAGAAATAAAGACCTTTGAATTTATATTCATTACACACAGTTTTTATTTTCATTAAAGGGATCCAAGGCCTTCACAAAAGGGTTGACTCTTGGTAGCTATACAGTACTAACACAACACACAACAACAACAGAAACAACACAGAGGACTTATGTGAACAAGTGAAAAGACAAATAAATAAGAGTTGAAAGACATTTCATATGAGTTTAAACTGAGATGCATCAACAAAACCAATAGTCAGAGGGAAGTGAGCAGAGGTTAAAACCCTGCAAAGTACAGTTTTTGTAACAGTAACGGTTTTGTACAATATTCGATTCATTTCTGCAAGTAGCTGATTGTCTATAGCGGCTTATTTTGGTCATGCACAGTTTATAATGTCATTTCTATTGTATGGACAGTGTTGCAATAATTTCACAGTTTTTTTCCATTTTTATCTCCTCTACCTCCAGCTTTGATTGTCAGTCTCGCAAGCGTTTGCATTGATGGTTTAAAGACGGCCTCATTTTTGTTTGCTGTGTAATGATGCTTGATTGTCACTAGCTGATGGCGATGGTTCATTAGTGGAAAAAAACCCTGCCAATCCAAGTATGTATCACTGCTAGATCGGATAAAAAATGTATTCGTATATATATATATGTCTAAAATAAAAAGAAAATGGCTTTACCGTAGTTTTTGGCAAAAATACCAGTAAATATGTTATATGTTCATGTTTAGCCTTGTATCAGACAATATCTGATGCCAATATTGATATGGTGCATCCCTAATAATTTATTTTAACAAATGAAATTTGTGCTTTGAGGATGATTCGAGTCCACAACGTGCTACATTCTTCCCTCCAATAATATCTGACAATATTCCACAGTTATCTTCATCATACACAGATGTCTGTACAAAAATATGCAGTATCAGTCTTAGTGTAATGTTGCTGGCAGGGTAGGTAGGATTTACTTTTTTTATGGTACGTTTTTAAGTTTTAGTAAAAGTGATTGCCATAAGCAAGTCTAAAATCTTCACAGTAGCCTCACACAGCTTAGGGAACAAGCTTGCTTTCACAATATCATTGAGCTGCTCAAGTAACAAGAAACTATGGTTACACTTCACAATACAGACATCTGCTGGCATTTACTTAGTATCACTGAATCACTTACAGCATTTCTGTGTGGTTGAGTTATAATTATAACCCTTACATTTGCTCAGCATGTACGAGCAAACTTTTTTTTTTTTTTGAAATATGTATAACAAAATCATCTTAGCTCAAGTTCACCTACTGGCTTTTCAGAGCTTTCAATCACATCTCACAGGGCATTTAGAGGCTTAGGCAGACAGGTTCAGTCTGCCAGTTTTTTATCCAGTGCTCTGTGTAATAAAGTAAATTTTTGTTATTATTGTTGTGTGTTGTTGTTGGACTATGAAACTTTCTGTCCAAGTAAGACTCAAAATGTTAAATATGATTAAATATGCTAACATTTATAAAAACTTGTTGCATCTCCGTAGACAGTGTAACCTAAACCCTGACTTGATCCTAATCCTATTTAATCCTAAACACACCTTAAACTGATCCTATTTATAATCCTGACCTTAGCTCTATGATTAACACACTATCCAAAACAAACAAAAAAAAAAACACCTGCACCTGCAACCTGATAGTACTAAGCAAATACCAGTATGGCCAGAGTACTGTCAAGTGCAACCAAGCTGCTCTTGGTTGAATTTGTAAACATTTAATGCATTTCGGGGTCTGCAACTCATTGAGGCCCCTCTATAGCTCAGTCCTGTGCTTCCTTAAAACCTGTGTGTCCCCCATATTGTTTTCTTGACACATTTTTGTTACATGCCCCTTTTTTTTCCTTCTTCTTTTGTGTTGATGGTTGGCAGCGATTGTTTGTTGTTCACTGTAATCTGGCCCAGTACTGACCCAGGTTATGACTCATACCCTGCTGCTCAGTTCCTGGAACCTGGACCGGCACTGAAACGCCAGGTGATATGAGCCCTGAGTGAAAGAGAGGGAGAAGAGAAAAAGTTAAAGAGTTTCA